TTATTGTTTAAAAGAGGTGTCCTTTAAAGGACCTGTTCTCCGGTTGACCCTTGTGAACCCAAAGTGTCGTTCCAAACCTGTATGACTTTCTTTGTTCTGTGGATATTTTGAAGAATATTGGTAACACAACCATTTTGGTTCCCACTAGCTTCCATTATATAGACAAAAAAAAAATACAATGGAAGTCTCCCAATTTCGTCGGTCATCCGACGTGACGTCGAGAGTGACCGACTGAAAGGGAACTGAAACTTACCAACATTCTTCAATATATCACAAAATAAAAGAAAGTCATACATGTTTGGTATGACATGAGGGTGAATAAATGATAGCAGGATCTTCATTTTTGACTAAAATATTTCTATAACCAAGATCGATATTCCAAATCATTCCATTCCTCGCTTTCTTTTTATGTCACTCTGAACTTGTCATGTCAGTTCGTATGACTTCATTTTCACCAGCTCCCCGTTTCACCAAGTCATCTCACGTCTTTTCGCCATCAGACAGTGGCCTCAACAATAACTGTCACTCATTTCGTTCTGAGGATGTGATGGTGGGTCCTCGGGAGGGATGCGTGTTCAAAGCATCGATCATGACATGGCGGACATGACTGGTTCTCTTCAGCCACTCGTAGTCGTCTAGCTCTGACACAATCTGCTTCACCCACACCTCTATGGGCTCATTAGACTCGTTTTATCTGGTCATTTACATACAAAGCAGACTGAGGGTATGGAATCCGTCGGGTCTGTTTGCCCTAGCTAGATATAAAGAGATACCTCTGGTTCACAAGGGCCAACCGGAGAACAGGTCCATCAGAGAATGCCTCTGAGGAGGCCCAGACCATGAAGGACCTGCTCTGGAGAGCCAGTGAAACACGTTTCTCACTTCCTATTGAATGCCTGCCCTCCGTTCCATAATTTAATACTCAATTCATTATTAAAAAGTGTTTGAGCTTACGTGGTAGGCTGGCTTACGTGTTTAAGCTTACATGGTAGATTTCAATAGGATTTCAAATGAGATGTTTAACTGAAATATCTACATATTTAAACTAAATATTCAATTGAAATATTTATATTAAACTAATTATGAAGGTAAATGGTAAAATATTTGATTAAAAATGTATATTAAAAGAGATATATATTTTTTTAATTTAATATTTATCTATCCACAAATATAATATGAATTAAATTGTATTGAAATATCTGTATATTTAAACTAAATATTTAACTGAAATATTTATATAAATTAACAAAAATATTATATTTAATATAAATATTTAAATGTAACAAGTCTCATTAGCTTTCCAGAGCAGGTCCATCATGGTCTGGACCCCCTGAGAGGTTTTCTCTGAAGGACCTGTTCTCCTTTTGAAACTTAATACCAGAGTTGTTCTGTCATGGTCTGGACCTCCGGAGAGGTATCTTCTGAAGAACCTGTTTTCCAGTTGGTCCTTGTGAACCCAAAGTGTCTCTTTAGATTTAGACTAAACGATCTCTTTAGATAAACTAGACGAAAGTTCATAATTTCTCAGAAAATCTTCAAATACACATACACATTAGCATTGTTACTGTAACGGTGTACACAGGGGTTACTCCGGGCAGTAGCCACAGATTTGAATCGATGGTGTACTTGTTCAGTTTTGAGCAAACAGTCGAATGGCTGGCACACATACACAGCTCAGTCAGCTGTCATTTGCAAGACCACCTGGGAAACATTTCCAACCACCCCCACCACCTGCCTCGCTGTCCCCTTTTGTTCATCAGCCCTCCCCCAGTCATTCTATCATTCAAACTGTCAGCGCTATTGATCACGCAATCCCTCCAGCCTGGCCTTAATACAATAATACAATCCCTTAAGAACAGCGAACAATAGACATTCACATGATATTAACTTATATATGTGCTTTAAACAGATGTTCTGCAATATCAGTCGGTATGTTTCTCTCGTGATGTAATAGTTTTTATGCTGAGCTCCAGATTTTGCTGGAGGTAAAGATGCCTGAATCCAGAGTGTTGAGCACAAGCCTCAGGGTGATGCTGACTCAGTTGAAGAGCCCCTATCTGTGTCTGTGATATTGAATCACCTTGACTTTTGCCTGCCTGCTTTGATATTTGTATGAATGAGGTGAGATGCATCCTGGGGCATTCTGCACGGTCTGGTCGATATGATAGCGCTGCGATAAACCTCTTTCCTTTGTCCTCTGCAAAAATGCTTCAACTTCAACTCAAATAGGAAATCTGTTATCAGTCACTTCATATGTGCAAAGTAACCTGCCGCGTATAACATAAGATATATTAACAACATAGATTCAAATGTAAGGCAAATTCAAAAATTTTGGGTTTGTGATTCAAATATATAATTTATTAGATTAATTAATAAAACTAAAAAAAAATTTTATTACATTGCTTGCTAAATTAAAGTTTTTATTTTATTAATAAATGTGTTTTGTGTGTGTGTGTGTGTGTGTTTGTTATTTATTTATTTTATTTTGTAAATATATATTTTGTAAATGTTTGTTATTTATTTTCCATTTATTTCTTTATTTTTCTTTGTTTATTAACCGTAAGTATAAAATATATTTAATTTATTATATATAATATATAATGTATTTGTTACTCTTTGTTTGTTTTTTTTACTTGTTACTAAAACTTTTTTTTAAAAATGTTTTTTTCCATATATATTTTTTTCTTCTCAGTGAAGATCTAGAATAGAATATAGAATAAAGTGACATTCATACATTTTTAAGCATGGCTTAGTTGTCTGAATACTTTTTGAGGCCAGTGTATCTAAGAGTACAGTGTGTCCATGATTGAGTATTGATTTCATGGTCTATTATTTATTAATGATTTATTGCTGAATCAGAGCTCGGCTTGTGTGGATTGAGGACAGCTGCTCAGTGCAGGAGCGAGTGTTTTTAAGTGTGACATTTGCCTCCTGTCCTCAACCTAGAAGGTCATACCTCTTTCTCTCCAGACAAAGAAGCTCCCCACCATAAAAAACCGCATACAACAAAACTCATCAGGCTTACAAGCAGCCGCTGACTTCCCAGATCAATTCCAGCTCATACCGTCACTGATTAGGTGGCAATTCCTGCCCGTCCTGAGCAACAGATAACCTGCAGTTCCTTCCCAAAATTGATTCGATTCTGAAAATGCCGTGAAATCCTGCAAGGAGGTTAATGGCACGACTTGCTCTGGAGCGTTTGATAAAGAAAATCTTACTTGAAGGGGAAAAGCTAAAGTGCCAAGGCCATAAAGTCTGCCGGAGTGAAGACATTAAACACTCAAATCACAGGTCAGCTTTATGATGTTTCGCTGTAAATGAACAAGCTGAGGTGATTATAGCAAGCAGCTTTGGATTACAAGTTTGCTGTTCAGAGCGTATGAATGTACGGGGAGCTGTATACCACGGGCTAATTGTTTGTGTCTGCGCCCTGATTGGTTCCCTGAGGTGTTTACTGGCCAACAGCGACAAAAGAATAGGCGACTCCTGCATCTTCAGTCAAGCGATACGCTGAGTTTCAGCTCCGAGGGCGCCACCTAATGAACGAAAGGGGAACTGCAGCTCATTAAACCTGTTTAATTAGATAAATGTCACTGTGAGGCACTGCTGGAGAAGAGTATGTCACTAGACTGTGGCGCTTTAGGGTTGAATCTGACTACAACCATTTATTTCATACACCATGCCTGATATGTCTAGAGAAAAGAGTACATTTGAAGCCCATTTTACTTCAGAATTAAGTAAAACGTAATACGAGTATTCAGTGAAAAATGTCTAGTGGGAATTGATTGGATCTTAAAAAAAATAGGAAATTTATTTGTTCATGTATTTATTTACATGATTTTATATAGCATGTATTCTGTGCAGTTCACACAAAAATGAAAAACTCACTCATGTTGGTCCAATTCATCAGGAATTAATAGTATTTTAAAAAGTGGGATCTGTGTGACAAGGCTCGGGTGGATTCATTCATTCATTCATTCACTCATTTAATTTGCAATAAAATTCACAATGCATCACCAGAAAATATGGATGCCCAAAATATCAGTTATTGGCCAGGTATCATATTCTGTGATTGTCTCTGACGAGCGCGAGCCCTCACACATCACACGCGCTGTGTGAAGTACAGACTGAACGGATTGTCAACATCCTACCGCTGTATGGCCAGATGAGACGCGACTGGATAACTCGCTAGTAAAGTTTTGATGGATCAAAACTGCAATCAAGGTAAAGACGAATGCGGTGGCGTACAGGAATCGTACAGTAAGCACGCGCGAGTCCGTTGTAATAATGTGTGTATGAGCTCTTGACGCACTGATATATATAATTTTTAGCTTTCCCATCATCTAACCCTCATTAAATGTTAAGCTTTAAAAACACTAATTTCATTAGACTGTTAAATGTAATCTTCAGCAAATTTCAAAATGAATATCAGAATGTTGTGATGCCTAAATTCACTTTGTACCATTTAAAACTATTGATTTTAGTTTTTATGTGTTTTATTTTTATTTCATTTGGACAAGATAATATAGCCATTGGTTATCGGTTATCAATTACAACATTGAAAAATCTGACAGAATTTCCAAGAACATGTATTAAGAAAGAATGTTGATTCATTTGATGTTGATATAAGATTTATTTACATTTTCGTAATCCTACATTGTCTTTCTTGCAGTACTATGTGGAGCTCCGCCCACCGTGGACAACGCTTTCCTGATTGGTCGGAAGCGTTCTCATTATGACATACACTCTGTGGTGCGTTACCAGTGCGGTGACGGTTTCCTCCAGCGCCACATTCCCACCATCAAGTGTCGCGCCAACGGCAAATGGGACCGGCCCAAGATCATCTGTACGAAGTGTGAGTATCCCAACTTTATTCTCTAAATGTCTCCAATCTCAATCTCAAGAACCAAATGGCCAGACTCTTTATTTTTTATTTTTTTTGTCGATAATGTTTTGATTTGTCATGTTTATGTTGCTGTGTTTAGTTATACGGAATGGATCCATGTAATGTAGTAGATATGCAGTCAGAAGGTGGTTGGTTTAGGTTTTTTTGGTATCTCCATGTGGTCCTGTTCGGTTACGCAACTTGACTATTTTTATTTTTTTTGTATCCTCAGCAAGGAGATCTCACCGCTACAGACGCCACCACCACAAGTCCCACCACGAGCACAGAAAGCACAAGAGGCACGGTTCAGGAGGTCATCGAGGTCAACAGGAGGGTCACGGCCATTTCTAACCAAATAATCCCCTCCTTTCCGCCAGCCTTTCACCTAAACCTCCTTATCTTTGATATCCGACGGCCTTTCACCTTTCCCCCTTCTCGTCTGGCTTAGTCTACCCCCATTATGATCAGAGGGGCTCTGCTGGACCTCACAAGGACTATAACAATTTCACTTTTCCATCTCTTTATCTGTTAATGTTACATCTCATTTTAGTGGATCCAACATGAGGAAAGTTCTTTCGTACCTTCAATGTAGAAAACACTCTAGTTAACTGTTTATGTATTTTTACATAAGCATTAATTGAGCGGGTGGGTTGGTACTACATGTAAATATTGTATTTCATTTCAAAACGCGGGATCAAATCGAAACAGCCAGGAAATGCTTGGGATTGGTTAGCTTATGCAGTATTTCTTGACCGTTTTGACGTTGGTTTGCTCTTTGTAAGACATTAACCTAATTTATACAGTATTTCTGAGTATTGGTGTGTTTTGAGTTGAGAGGAGTGGTGCTCATCTGGATTTTACATGAAAATTAAATCACGCTCATGTCATTCCAAACCTGTATGATTTTATTTCTTCCGTCGAACACAAAAGGACATGAGTGACTGGCAACAGGAACTGTCAAATTTTTAAAAATGGCACCATAAAAATAGTTGTGCACTGTATTTGTCTCGTAAAACAGACCGAAGTTCAATCTAAAGCCATTACTCCATTGTAGCTTTCATAGAAATGTGACGTTTCATGTCAATGATGTCAAATCTGACAACTTAATGATGAACGAGATTTCAGATCCACATCGATGGAGTTTTCTGCAAATAATCATTTCAATTTTGCATTTTCCCTCACACAAATGTATCGAATACCTTCAGTATTGGTGTGTTTTGGGTTGCGAGGAGTGGTGCTCATCTGGATTCTCAGTGTAGAAACTGCACAATTCACGCAAAAATTAAATAACTCTCATGTCGTTCCAAACCCGTAAGATTTTATTTCTTACGTCGAGCAAAAAAAGGAGATGAGCGACTGGCTATAAATGAGCAATATCAGCTATGAGTGTGATATTGCGTTTATACAACAGTTTGACGGCACGAGTGTGTAAATACATAAGAAACAACAACGGTGTGTCTTTAAAAACCCTCTTTTGTGCAGAACTACTTCCTTCCATCAACTAAATCACAAGTTGACGGTTTAACAGCTGGGCCCAAGCCTCCGTTTCTAATTCGAAAACATCACTTTAGAACTATTTTAAGTCTAAACAAGTACATTCTTGCCTAAAAAACTCTTAAAACTACATTCCGTGACACGAAAACAGTATTATTTATAAAATTATATTGGATTTGGGGGTCCGCCATGACATTCACTTTGAGAAACGGTTGGAGTTCTGATATCACTTGAATATCGCACTCCTCTCAGCCAATCAGATTTGAGGACCAGAAAGAACTGTTGTATAAACGACAATAAAGCACCATGAAAGTATGAATTTAACGTCTGCTGAAACCATATGATAGAATTGTGTGAGAAACAGTCCGAAGTTATTCATAATCAAAAAGTTGTTATTCTATTCTGTCAAACTGGTGATGAACGAGATTTCAGATCTGTGTTGGTTTGCTTTTTTTTTTTGCGAATAATCATTTTAATTCTTACGCTTTCCTCATACAAACTAATCAAAAATCTTCAGAAGAAGAATATAGCTCACATGTGGTCATGCAAACCACTTTTATGAAACTTTTATGGTGCTCCACTGGAAAACAGCAGCTTGGACACTCTGCAAAGTATCTTCTTTTGTGCTCCACAGACAAAAAAACATAATACGGGTTTGAAATGACATGAGGTTAAATAACTGATGACAGACTTAATTGTTGGGGTCAAACTATTCCTTTAAGTCCTTAAACAGCTTTTAAAGAGCGATAATTAGAGGGATGGAAAGAGGTTCGACTTGCTGGTCTTAATTGCACTCGACTACATAAACAGCCTTGGGGGTCACAGCTATGCCCGTAATTAGCTTCTCAAAGTAGCACACTTAAGGAAGAAATAAAACAGGGATGTATTCCCATGAGTGGGATGTGAACGAAAACAAAGAATCCAGATGGTGCGATATCACATACGGGTTAGATGTTAAAAGTGCTCATGGGTAAATTTCAGAGGCAGGGATACCTCCAGCGCTGAAGATCAGGAGGTTAAAAAGGAAAGGCTCATGCAGAAGGAAGCCAGTTGAGAGGCAGCATTTGGTCTTCTGTTCTCCTCAGAGCAAAAGATGTGGTCTGGGCTCACTGAGGTTTCCAAAGGCACACTTTTTTTCATCCCCACCAGGTGCATGTCCTGTTTTTCAAAGAGTACTGCGACAGCTGACTCAAAAATGAGGACCACTCCTTATTCTCTGCCCTCTCAACTATCCTCTTTACCTTAAAAAAGGGCAGACTCTTTCTTTTTTACTGCGCATTTCTCTAATGCCGGGGGTTTGTGCTTATCTCTCACTGTTCCTCGCTCAATTTCCCAGTGAGATTGCAAACGTAGCCCAGTTTTCCACCAACTTCTTTTCAACGTCACAGCTCCCTCCTTCTCTACCTTTATCCACCTTTTTTAATAGCCTTTTTTTTTTTAATTCAAGGATGAAAAGCCAATAGTCTTAATATCTGAACAATTCATCTTTTTGTTCCAAGAAACTTAATTAATGTTGAGGTTATTGGCGCTTATTTTGATAAAGAAGCAATTGACTTCAAGAAAAGGATGAAAAGGATAAAAAGTTGTTTTGAACATTTTGAAGTTTAGTCAAAAACGGAGGAACATGCATTTGTAGTAAATTTCACAAAAACATCAATTTTGCATTCTTTTTATTTATATATGTGTGTGTTGAGAATTTTTGTTGAGAATTTTAAAAAATTTGATATATTATTTACTTCATAGTAATTTCAGAGTGGTTAATTTTCTTTAAAATAATGTCGCAAGGCAAAACAAAATCCACATCCTTAAAGTAAAATATCAACTTTTTTTTTCTTTCGATTTTGGGGTGAATAATGTCCTGTTCTGGGCAGGTTTCGTACAATTCAGTCTAATGCCCATGCATGATTTGCATCGAACAGGAGGTGCACCAGTGTTATGCAATTTGTCTGTCAAAATTGGAGTCTCATTCTGATACCCAGGATCCTAATAATCCATATTAGCTGCTAATGTACCTCTATATCACACTAATAGCTCTTTACAGCCCTCAGCTGAGGCTAGCGAAGGAACAATGTGGCAACTTAATTGTGAGCCTTGATTATAAAAATGAATCTCTAAACAAAGAATGTTCACAGCTGTCTTTTGGCGCCACCACTCGTCACACAGGCATTCTGAAGAACTATAAGAGGCAGCTGCGGGATTTTCTTGTGGCAAGTTTTCTGACTAATTGCCACAGAGCAATTGTTGTCCCAGAGGTTGTTACACTAGCTGCGCCACCTCTTTGTAGTTACATTCGTGGAACATCGTCTTATTTAGGCTTGTTTGCATGACTCATTCAGCCAGATTTGTTGAGATTCTCGCAAGAAGAATATGCAAAATACTCTCACAATAGCCTCCAACGGTTTGTTTGCTATCGCCTGCTGCAGCCGAGAATGGCGTTTTTCCATTTTGATAAAATGTTCATGTTGTATCGAGGCGTTAACCTTGTTCTTTTTTCGTATTTACATGATTGTTGGAGGTAAAGAGGAAGCTACGGCGGTGAGACAGGAGCACGATGTCCTCTGTTTAATCAGGACTGCAGGTAACAAGCCACATCCATCATCACCTTCCGGACTATCCGGACAAGAGTAGCACATCTGAATTTTTAGTGCGTTTGCTGGAAATGTCTTTGATTGGACGGTGTCAGAAAGGGAATTACCATGACAAAGAAGCCAGTTCAGCCGCCGGTGGCAGTGCGGATTGTTCTGGAAATCGTTGCTGCTTAGTATACTTAACCCGAACCTCCAGCGTTCCCTGTTCTCCTAAAACGTGCTTTCATAGTCCGCACTTTACCTCATATAAATCTGTATTGGCACATAATCTGTAAATTCCATCTCAGCCGGCTGTCATATCATTATATACGACTTTGTCATCATGCACGTCGTTTATTTGATGATAACACTGTTGGAGAGGACCTTAAAGAAGACTCTATGATACCGATTAATATGGTGGGGTCTTTAGCTTTACATTGATATGCATTTGGACTATGATGTTCCCGGACTTTTGTTATCTGAGTTTTTGTTTATATTTCCGAACCAAGCATATGAGACTTTTCCTGTATATTTACAGTTACAGCTCTTATTTCTGTTTATTTATTATTTGTTGGCTTGAAGGGCATCCCGTCGTTATTAATGACCTAGTATTCCCTCCTGTTACAAGCAGTAAATTCATTCCTCTGGCAGTAGCAAAACTACCTTGCGACAAAACCATAAAATCTTTTGACACCACTCCCCAGCTCGGTGATGTACAGTCTTTGTTTTCACTTCTTGATGTTTTCTTCTCATTTTTTATGTATGGATTTATTTATTTATTTTTCACTTTTTAAAAATGAAATCTGGATGTGTTTGTTGCTTAGAGTCCCTGGACTTCAGTCACACAGGCTTACTCTCCGTTCTCCGGCGCTAGGCAGAAAACGCTACTGCTGCTGCATCAAACGTCAAACACCATCTTCTACACTGAGATACTGTTGTTTTTTTTAAAGCATTTCCTTCACCGGGATGACCTGAGTCAGGCTGCGTGAATGTGGTCCATGTGTGTTATCCAATATTTATTGATGTTCTTATGAATTCTAGGTCTGTCCTTGTATTATATTCTTTACCGAACAAGTGGTCAATTAAAATCATTGGATGGGATCGGTAATGCCATTGAATTGGCCTTATCCTTTACAGTTTTTGTTGCAGATTACACATTCTTATGGGTATTTGCCATTAACTAAATGCGGTTCCAAACTTGTATGACTTTCTTTTCTCTGTAGAACACAAAAGGAGACATTTTGAAGAATGTTCATGCTGCTCTTTTCCATACAATGTACGTATATAGTAGGGGTTGCACCGACTAATCGGCTAGTCGACTTCAATGCTCTGCCATGACGCTTTAAAGGTACAGTTCAACCAAAAATGAAAATTCTGTCAT